AAAAGCACATCGGTGCATTTTCATGAATGTTACGTCATGTGTGGAACAGCGCTCGTGACAGTTAAAGAAGTGAGTGTAAATTGTGATCTTTTAAACTCTACTCTTAACTAGAACTGTCTTAACTACTTGCAAAAAACTTGTTGAGACATTAGAAACAAAGTTAAACGTGTAACCTGAGATGGAAACTTTGTTCCTGGTTTTTTTTCCTTATCGATCATACGAAGACGGTCAAGCGAAGAAATCTGGCCACTTCGAGGGTTGTATACAATTTCACTGTTACTGGCGGATCTCCAACCTCATTAATAAATACTCCTCTTTCTTAGGTGTCAAGTCCCATTATGGCTCTTGGTGTCAAGAATGTCAAGAATTCCTGGAATCTTTTCACCAATTGCTTCATCGGGTAACCAGGGACAATAAAATGTGTTACATAATGGGTGATTTCAATTTAGACCTTCTTAACACTGATTTGCATTCAGCTACGAATGAGTTTATTAATGCGTTATTTTCTCATTTTCTTTACCCGCTAATTTCGAGACCAACTCGACTTACTTCGTACAGCGCCACCCTGATTGATAATATTTTTACTAACAATATTTCTGCCTTGTGTGACAATGGACTCATTATTAATGATCTGTCCGACCATTTACCAATCTTCACACTCTGTTACACTGATGCTCATTCTTCAACAATTAAGCCTAAGGAAAGTGTTGCCATTCGCAACTTCTCTAGTCAGAATATTAATGCATTTAACAACCTTTTGTGTGAATTCGATTGGAATTCTCTAATTTATGCTGATGCTAACGCCGCTTACAATGGGTTCCTTCAAAAATATACTGAATTTTATAACAAGAGTTTTCCGATAAAGTTTTGTCAAGGGAAAAACCTAAAAACTCTGCATAATCCGTGGCTTACAACTGGAATCTTGAAATCAATTAAAACAAAGTCTAGGCTGTATAAATTGTTGTTAAGGAAACCAAGTCATGAGCGTGAATCCAGCTATAAGTCATTTAGAAATAAGCTAACTTGTCTTGTTCGTATCGCCAGGAAAAATTATTATGACAACAAATTGGATAAGGCTAGATCAAACTTAAAGCAAACATGGAAAATTCTTAATGAAGTGATCAACAGGCGTGTCGCTAAATCGCCGTATCCTGCAAGCTTCACCAAAAATGAAATGGAAATTAGCAATCCTACTGACATTGCCAATAAATTCTGTGATTACTTCACCAATATAGGGCCAAATTTGGCGAGCAAAATTCCTTCCACAAATTCGTCACCCAAGAATTTCTTAAGCAGCGCTCTTTCCGAATCCATTTCATTGCAACCACTAACAGTCGGTGAATTAAACAACATTGTTAAATCGTTCAACGCCAACAAAGCTCCTGGACATGATAATATATCCATGAAGATAGTTCATCAGTCTTTCCAAAATATTGCGCAGCCTCTTGTAACCATTATAAACACTTCGTTGTCTACTGGTGTGTTTCCTGAATCTCTCAAAATAGCCAAAGTGATTCCAGTTTTTAAGGCAGATGACCCAACACTTTTTAGTAATTACAGGCCAATATCAATTCTTCCAGCCTTTTCTAAACTCTTTGAAAAAGTCATGTACAACCGACTGATTAATTTCTTAAATTTGCATAATATTTTATACTCGAAACAATTTGGATTCCGTAATAATCATTCGACTGCATTAGCGTTAATTGACTTGATCAACAACATATCTTCAGCTATCGACAGAAATGAAACAACTTTAGGCATCTTCTTAGATCTTTCTAAGGCGTTTGATACAATTAATCATGAAATATTGTGTCATAAACTGCAACACTATGGTATTCGGGATACTGCTTTGGCGTGGATCAAAAGCTATCTTGACGATCGGACTCAATTTGTCCAGTTTGGGTCCCATCGATCTTCTCCGCGGAAAATTTTATGTGGCGTCCCGCAGGGCTCAATTCTTGGACCTCTTTTGTTTATTATTTACATTAATGATCTTCCTAATGTCTCTAGTCTCACTCAATCTTTACTGTTTGCTGATGACACAAGTATCTTTTGTTCCCATAAAGATGCCAATCACCTCGTTTCTATTGTTAACAATGAACTTGCAAAAATAATTATTTGGCTTAAAGTGAATAAGTTATCTCTAAATCTGACTAAAACAAATTTTATGATTTTTCATCCAAGGCAAAAGAAAGTCAATGTTAATGTCCCTCTTACTCTGGAAAATACCGTGATCAAGCAAGTCACGGAGACAAAATTTTTAGGTGTTCTCATTGATCAGCATCTCTCTTGGAAACCACATATTGATTTCGTCTCAAAAAAAATTTCGAAAAGTGTGGGAATTATTGCGAAAGCCCGCTTTTACCTATCATCCCAAACTTTGATGACCTTGTATTACTCCCTTGTATATCCCTTCTTAACATACTGTAATGTCGCCTGGTCCTCCACCTACTGTTCCAACCTAAACTGTATTTACCTTTTGCAAAAGCGTCTAGTGCGACTCATAACAAAAGCTCACTATCTAGCAAATACCGCCCCTTTATTTAGCCAGCTTAAAGTCCTTGACATATTTAGTATTAATTCATTTTCTGTCGCTACCTTTATGTATTCTTATCACCATAATCTTTTGCCTAATAGCTTTCATGACTTGTTCTTAAGTAGTAATCAAGTCCATCAATACGAAACTCGACTAGCCTCTCAATATAGACCTCATTTTTGTAGAACAAATATAAAGCAATTCAGTATCCTTTACCGAGGACCTAAAATCTGGAATTCGTTGCCTGTTTCACTAATTAGCTCTCCTTCTATATCTGTTTTTAAAAAAAATTTAAAGAATTATCTCACTGATAGCCGATCTGTCGTTTAATTTTCTGATCTTGCTCACTCTGCACTCAGCCATGAACTTAGTTCACTAGGTAGTTGAAGGAAACCTATTAATATAAGCTTCAAGCTTCGTTAGGCTTCCTTGTCACATTAGTTTTATAATTTAATTAACACCTTTTGTTCATGTTGTGTAAGGTTTTGTGAGTGACTAAATAAATAAATAAATAAAAAATGTCAGAAGCGTATCCAAAATAACGGGAATTAAGGTCGCGGACATTAACACTCCACTTAATTAACAGCGCGGAAATTAACGTTTCAAGAAAAACGCGTTGACCTAACTACGTTAATTTCATGAAGCGTTAATTTCCTATCAAAGGTATCCCTAAATAGTAACGGCAGTGATAGGTCTTGGCGAGAACTGTCCAGAGAAGCCTATTTTCAATAATATTGTAGTATCAATTTTATTGACAACTTTATCTTATCTGAAGATCATAAATAGGCTGCCTGATGCTTTCAATAATTTTCAAGAATAAATTAATGATATTATTTATTTTAAAATATAAACAAGAAGAAGAAGTCATAAATTCCTAACATCAATTGCAGGGGTTTGCAGTCAATTAAATTATTTTAGTTATCTAATATCAATGGTCATACACTGGTTTTGCATAATTTGTTTTAAAGTTAAGGATAATTTCTACATGGACAGAAAAAAAAACACCTTAATTCTTGATCACAAGTTTTTCATTATCTGAACAGCATCAGTACTAAATTAACATGTGTAGTATTCCAGGGCAGTAGTTGCCTGAAAATGTAACCTAACAATAATAAATGACACACTTTCATTAAGTATTCTTATGAGCTGGTATCCAAAATTAAAAAAATATTTGCCTATTAAGAAAGGATAAACTGTGGGTTTACTACATGTATTATATGTATCTGTGGATATCTGCTAATAAAGACTCTGCAAATAAGATGATAGCAGTGATTTTATGTCACTTCACAGGGTGCATTATCCATTCAAATCACTTTTTATTTACTGAGTAGACAAATGATATTTAGTTTGCTTAGATGTTTTATACCATGCCTCATCAATTCGTGTGCCATGAAGGCCTTGCCGTTTTGTCAATAAAATGGTAGCTTTTATATAGACTTGTATTTGTCTACAGTAAAGAAATATCTTGTTTTCTTTGAGAGTATAGTATATATATATTTAGTAAAATCCAAATAGTAGTCTATTATCAATGCTGCGTTCTGATTGGTTGAGCTATTACTAGGCTATATGTTATGGCCCACTAGTAGCGAAAAGCGCGGGGTTTTTGGCGGCAGAAAAGGATTAAAGTCTAGCTTTAACAAGCTAAAACTTTTTTATTCTCGATATTTTTGACCAACTAGTTGGATTTTACTAAAACAATCATTCCTCTCGCCCTCATGGCCTCTGGGTCAATAGCCCATTTGGCCTTCGGCCTCACGGGCTATTGACTCAGAGCCCATTCGGGCTCAAGGAATAATTGTCAAATATTTTTTTTATATATACTAGATATTATTATTATAATTGTAGATTTAATGCACATTCGTATTTTGAACGAGCATTTGTGCTCTTAGATGATAACGTGGTTAAATAAATTATTGTTATTGTTGTTGTTGTTGTCATTGTTGTAAATTCACCAGATGAAAAACCACCCACAATGAGCCATTGCTCAAACCTTAACCTTTTAAGCCCCAAGATCCAAATACAAATTCTCCAGACCGATCTCCATACATTTCTTTTAAGAATTAGTTGAGAGAATTTAATAAAAGATCAAAGTATTTTCTCTTTGGTGATCATTTGTTAATTCTCATAACTTTACTTCTTGACAATGTATGGATATTGTAAAGAGAAAATTGTTGTTGGTCACTATTGGGACCTAAAGGGGTAACAAAAAAAACCCTTTGTAAACAAGAGGAACTGCCACTACATATCTCTCAACCAAACTCATTCATTAAGATGGCACTGGTAATATTGCTCTTAACATGCGATAATTCATATGCATGTAGTATATTACTGACCTCACAATGTGAGGTCAGTAATATACTACAATCTTCAATCTTAAGCCTCACTCTATTTGAACTGTGCAATGACACTAGCATATACTTTGCACAACAAACGTCATTGTAATTATTACATATAGCTGCATTTAGTATTCTAGTGCAAGCAAATAAAAACAAGCTCATTATTTCATGCGCATTTCAGATCCTGTCATTATTTCCAATAAATTATTTTGTTTTCCCAGAAAATGAAAAAAAAATTTGCCCATACAGACCGTTTTTGGTAAAAGCCCCATCTCCTTATCTCATCTCCGGAAATTCCAGTCAAGGTTTACACATGAACGTTCCTTTAATGGACAACAATAACTGTAAATATTTTCTGAAACCAATTAAATTACATTATTATTTATAAAATATATGACCTGCAGATTGTCTTTGTATGTCCTGAAACTGAGAAATAAACTATAATCTATTTTTCATCTGACTTCCAGTTGTTTATATTTATAGGGTTCACTGTGATTTCTGGTTCTGAATGTTCGTATCAAGTACATTATCGCTGTGATGTCTAATGCAACCCCTGCAATCGCAGCTTGCCAGTACTCATTAGGATGCAAGTAGCAGACAATTGACAAAGCACCATATAACAAAGTTTTCTTCCAGTTGTCAACAGCTAACAAGTACTTCCACAGTGTGTGAGCACAGCTTTCTTCCCTGAAATAAAAGTAAAATTATGTTGTGAATCTATGGAAAAACAAAGTTAAACAGTCAAAGTTACATGTTGCTTATTGTACTTAGTTTTGCAATTTTTGAGAGATGGTATTTCGCCATGTTTTTATAGTTTCTCGATTTCAACAGGCAAATATTATGTTAAAAAGGCATCAAATTTTGTGATTTAAGTTTTCTCAACTTTTTTTTATCTTTCAAAAGGTCTTAACTTTTTAAAACCTCTAAACAAACTCATGGAACAACTGATGAGTGAAATTTTTGCAAATCAACATTACTTCACCACTGAAGGTATGGAGTTTACCAGCAAAATCAGTCGACAATTTGTGTATTTGTTGAAACATATCGCATCCTGCATATGTTGTTGCTATTATATGCCAATAATTTTATCTGTGTTTTGGATTTTTTATGTCGGTATTAAATTTTGCAAGCTTAAATTCTTGCAAGGATTTATATTTGCAGGTCTTAATTTCATGAATTTTTTTTACAAATTTATCGCAAAAAACAGGAAATTAAAGACCCACAAAATTAAGTACCAATAAGGTACTCAGTACAAGGGTCACTTCTACTTTATCTATTCAGCCCTGAAAATTCAAATGCTATGGAAGCTAGTCAAGCTATTTTGTGGACACTACTGGCTGGGCTGTTAACCCCCCACGTTTTTAATTATTGAGAATTGCATAGCGAGGGGACGATAGATGACATCATAATGCACGGCACATGACATCATCTGTGCATAAATACTCATTGACTCCGATCATCATGAATATCTGTGATGGCACAAAATGCTTAAAAAAGATGTTGTTAGCATTGTAACATTTGATCTCATTGGTTTACTTCGCACCAGTCACATTATTGCTTATATTACAATCACTGGGCATACCAGAGTTTATATAGGAAACGTTCAATGTTAAGAGTAAAATAGCTCAAACAACAGAAAATACATGTATTTCAAATTTCATTGTTGCAAAGTCGAGTCTACAAGAAATGGCAAACTTTGGCGATTATCCAGGAGATTTCAGACTTTAACCTGGAGACCAGGAGATACGGTCTAGAATCTGGAGTCTCCCAGATTATCCAAGAGAGTTGACAGCACTACTACTGGCCAGAAAGAAGCGATACTACCTAAAAACAGGGCTTCTGATAATTCGTGGAAAAAAAAGTCAAATTTCGCGGGATGTTCGGGGACAAAATTGCGCAAAAATCGGCCGATTTCGCGGGAATTTCGTGGGAATTTTCAGGGCAAACTTGGCCGGAAAGCAATCAGCAAAAAAACGGCGGATTTTGTGGTCATTTTCAGGGCAAATTTTGCAACATATCGATCGGTTTTGCGCTGATCAGACCAGCGTTTTTAATGTTTTTCTAACAGACATCATCATTTGCTCTTTCAACAACAATACGCTCTAGAAATGAACCAATGGAAAAGACTTAACATCATGGCTAGTGCCCAGTTTTTCGCAACATAATCTACGCCTGGTAGTTTCGGGACATTGTTTCCACGTTTCAGTGACGAAGGTTTGACATAAATTTGCGAGTTTACGGCAAGTAAATACCGCCAGTAGCTGAGGCAAGTTTCAAAATTGCTGTACAGACATGTATTTGATACGATTTCTACCGAATTTAGCAGTATTTTGCGTGTTTTTGTGAATTTCGCGGATTTACCTGAATTTCGCGGCTCTGCGACCGCGCGAAATATTAGAAGCCCTGTAAAAATGAGTCCTGAATGCATTGCCACTCAACTTTTATCTTTTCTCTTCTCTCCTCCTCACTTCTTTTCATTTCCTTTCCCCGTATTTTCCTTTTGCTGGACATTTACAAGGCTTCACTTTGTGGGAAAAATATTTTGGAAACACCAGGATCATTCCCTCCTTTTCTTTCTTCATGGAATTTTTTCAATGTTATTTACATGGTTTTTAAATTTTTCTTTTGCACATTTCACTGAATCACACTTATTTGGGCATGGTTTGAAAGATTTTTTCTACCTGCACAAGTTAGGAGTTTAAATTCATTTCGACCATGGTCAAAAGAAAGGATATATTAGTGCAAATTTTTCTTCCTTCACATTTTTATTACCTGCAACAAACGCATTTGTCCAGAATAAACATGAACTCAAAAAATGTCACAGCTGTTCCACAAATCCTATAAAAGACAAAATGTTAGCTGGTCAAATGTGTTTGAAACTAATAAGCCCCCCGTGGGGCTTTACAGTGGATTTATGGTATTTATCGGGGGTAAGACTAGTAGAGTATGGATTAACCAAATTTAAGTACATTGTGGCCTGTGACAATAAAAAGAAAAATTCCATTTTCAGATTCTGAAAGGCTGTGAACATTACATTTTTGACAAATGTATGCATTTGTGGTAATTCAACAAAATTTGTGGTAAATCAATAAAAATGTTGTCTGATCATGCAACAAAACACCTTTAAACTGTGACAAATAAGTTCTAATCTGTAAATTGTACCAGCAAAGATCAAAGCAGAGATGCTCATCTGAAAAACACTCAGTGCCTTTGAAACTTGAATACATGTAGTTACAGTTAACAAAAGTACCGCTTTTTTCAGCAAAATATCCCCAGCAGCTTTAAACAGTGAGACAGAGAACTCACTCTGGAGAATTACTCGTCAAAGAATAAAATATTGACCCAACATAACTCACTTACATTAGGTATGCAGCAATTCTTTTGTCTGCACTGTCAACCAAATAGAGTCCCGTCCACCACAGACCTGATGACAAAATTTAAAAACAAAAGGCAATATTTTCAAAAATTTTCATTTCCATATCATGGAACGAATTTTGGAATTTAGAGAACAGGCGAGGGGCATCTTTGAACTAGAATTTCTAGGGCATCCGGGTTTTTAAGTTTGTTAAAATACACGCGGCGTAAAACTGCGTTATGATCAAAATAAATCCCTTTCAAGTCAACTTCACACGATCAGCTGTTGTATTTCAAGTTTTTCAAGAAAAAGAATAAAATTGTTTCCCCGCCCTATGACATGACTGCGAAAATAATAGCACTCAAATTATTTACTCAATCATTAATGTTAAGAAAATAGAGCAATCCTGATCAGTCTCTACTGTCAAAGCTTTAATTTACCTGCACTTGTGAATAGTCCAAATATTCGAGTGATTGAAGTGAAATGACGGATAATAAAGGGACGCTCTGCTCCTGCTTGCATTTCTTGTCCAATCCAAAACTTTCAAAAATTATTTCAAATGTCGAAGAAACGTCGAGAATAAACTTAAATATCAGATCAATGCTGGTGTAAAAAATGAGCAACGCATCGTGGCGAAATTTGTTTTCGTGGCAGTGAATATCAACAAGGCGTTTTCTGTGAAGTGGTAACCTGATGGACTGGGTACTACTACTTCCCATTCCCCACCCTAGCTATCCAAAGCACCGAGCGGTTTTCACAGCCAAATCAAGGGTGCTTACCATTTGACAGAAAATGTCGGAAATTCCGGATGGAAGCTAAATGGTAAGGTCACTTTTCGTAAACTGGTAAATCGCTTACCATTATGCTTTCGACACCCCAACCGGATTTTTCTGTCAAATGGTAAGCACCCCAAGATACATCCCTACAGTCACAACCTCTCTAAAACGACCAACTCTCTCTTGGTTTTATTATTTCCATCGTTTTAAAGACGGAATCCATCAGGAAATCAAGTAGTGTTTTAATTTCCAGCGCCAGTGGACAAAAACCTTGTAGTAGAATATTTTAAGCGATTGATGTCAAAATGTTCAAAATAGATATAGTTGGCTGTAACAACACTAAAGACAATTTCTCATGGGAGACCGAGAAAATAAATCACAGAAATTAAGAAAACACAGGTAAAATTATAATTAAATGTACTCAATTTCCTAATGGATTCCGTCTTAACCTCTTACACATCTTCGATAAGCGACCACTTGACTCATAATGTTGTCTCATTTCGCTATACGTACTACCCCCAATCAACGTATAGCAAGAACATTACCAATTCATTCTTCTCTATGATGTCTGCTTCCGGGTTAAAAAGAAGCAAGAACTTATCACCTATCAAAAAATTAGCTGTGTGAAATACTACTGTATATTAATTTTACTTTTTTCACTGTGGGTTTTCTGGTATAGTAAATGGGAGGAAATGCAGTCAAATTAACACATACCTAATCAATACAGTACTAGCCTGTTCCAGGCGTTCACATAGTAGAGAGTGGCGACAAATAAAAAGGGGCGCGAAAAAACAAAACCGAAGGAAAGTGGAGAGAGGGGGAACGCCTGAGGTATTTGTTTTGCATAGATTCTTTACTTCGCGTCGCTCTCCACTCAACGCCTAAAAAAGGCTGTTAATACTTATTATTCATTTATTCTTTACACCCTAGGCAGTATATCTGTTTTCACGGGATGCATTATTAGCTAGCAGCATAAATTAGGGGCCGACAGTTTATTCTACTCAGCGAGTCAAGAGCTAAGTGCACGTTTGTTCTTCGGTGGATTTCAGACTGCTTTATTTTGCGATCATCCTGGCCTGCTTTTCTACCACGGGGATCTTTCTACAACTACGCTTTCTTCTATCTTTTGCGTCTTCTTTCCGTTTGTATTACTTTTGTGGAATTAATTTTGAATCTTTCTTTTTTTCGTTTTTTTTCTCTAGTCAAACCGTTAGATGTTTTCATTCAACTGAAAGATAACGAATACCCTTAAGGTCTCACACATGCTAATACAGTACTTGGTAGGCTATTAATTTTATAGTACATGCTCGTTTTGTTTTTTAATGAAGATGGTACATACATTGACGTCCAATAGTGCTACACCGTTGTTTTCTGCAGTGTTACTGGCTCTTACAAAACAATACCATATATGGTAAAACAGGTGTGATTCAATGCCACCTTCGTTTTTCAAACTTCCGATTTAACGAACCAATTTCTATTTTCTTTGGAGGTTCGAAAATAGGGAAGCTACTCATGTTTTAACGTAAAACCCTGCTTATAAACCCCCTCAACTTATAAGCCCCAAAAACCCCCCCCCCCCCCCCCCCACCCCCCCCATCCCCCCCCCCCCACCCAAAAAAAAAAAAAACAAAAAAAAAGCAAGCAACCCCCCTTAAAAAAAAAAAACAACTAAAAACCCCCTCCCACCAAAAAAACAACCCCACCCCCCCCCCCACCCCCCAACACCATACTACCACAACTACTCACATACAACACTCTAACAAAAAACCCCCCCCCCCCCCACCAACCCCCAGTTATGAGCCCATCTACCTGAAAACAAAAAAATCAAGAGAGAATGAGCTCATTCCCTCTTGAAAAAATACATCTGATTATAAGCCCTCCCTCCGGATAAAAGCCCCCTCCCCCCCTCCTAGATATGTATTGAAATGAATTCGATTCTGACGTTTAAAGTTTAATTAAAAACCAGAAAATGCAAAACATATTTTGATCAAACCTGTTATACCTTGTTTGGAGGTGTACTTTCTATTAAGGGTCGCAAACTAGAAGCCCCTCCGATTTAAGACTTTACAAGCCCCCTTAAAACCCTTTCGAAGTAGTATAACCCCAGGGCTTATAAACTGCATTTTGTAGTACTGATATTAACCTTTAAGTCCCGATATCCACTTACAAATTCTCCAAACTGATCTCCATACATTTCCTTAAAGAACTAGTTGAGAGTAGTCTTGAGAGTATTTGATAACAGATCAAAGCATTTTCTCCTAAGTGATCATTTTTTTTTAATTCTAATAACCATTTCTCTTGGCAACATATAAATATTGTGGGGAGAAAATTGATGTTAGTCAATATTCGGACTTGAAGGGTTTTTAATAAATTTCGAAACTGAATGCCATATTCAGTGTTCGCACTTCTCAGGTCCTGCCAAGAATAGTATCAGGGGGTGACCATTTGGCTTTGGAGGAGGGGTATGGGTGATTTCAGAAAAAAAAAATATACTACGACTGATTTCGAGGGGAAAAATCTTGCAAGGAAATACTTGGGGAAAAGATAACCTGCACTGAAAAAAAAACCTCTCATGGCGTATAATAATGAAAAAAAAATCGTACACCGTTCTGATGTCGGAAAAAATTCTATCTCAAAAGGTATAGAGAAAAAATTCTTACCCAAACCAAATCACCCACGTCCCCCCCCCCCTCCCTCAAAAGTCAAATGGTCGACCCCTTAATTGAATGCAATTATATGCAAAATTGCGCCACGGAATCGTGGCTATTCGTGGGGTCTTAACAAAATTGACGAGTCTGTTAACAAACGTCAAAACTGCAATTGTCTTTTTGGCGGGTGTTTGTTTTGGGACGCTTTGAAATAAAAACATATCTCCAAAAGAGAATGAAATATAAAATTCACTCTAGAAGTCGCTTATCGGAGCCAACCCGTTTACAGGAACACACAGTTTATTGATTAATATAGCAGTGAGGGTGATGTACTCAGCTCTTCCTTGCTGAGAATTCTGATTATGTATATGAATGACAAATTTATCGCACCTATAAATGACAGGTGATCGTGTTCAGCCTAAGCCTTAAGCTGAACGTAGTCAACATGCAACTGTTTATATTATTTCGATAAATAAGGACGAAAAGAGGAAGCGTGAAATGTCACACATTTGTATTGACTACCAAGAAGAGACCGTACACCGCGTAAATGTCTTCTGATAGTAATATTGACAGCGATCTGTGGTTTTGGATTTTAGGATGTCTTTTTACTCTTCTAACAGTGGCTGGAAATGGACTTGTCGCATATCTGATCCTGAAAAAACCACAGCTGCAAACGAAGCCCAACTGCTTTATTGCCTCGTTAGCAGTTGCAGACATTTTTGTTGGTATCACATATTTTCCCCAGATTCTTGTCAAAAGCTTCATCTGTTATTCCAAGCAATGCGATGACGTCTTTTTTATCACCAGACACTTTTTCCAGTATTCCTCGAATGTCAATCTTTGTATCATGTTGGTAGACCGTCACATCTCCGTAATGAAACCACTGAAACATGTTACGTTGATGACAACGAAAAGAGTTACCATCCTTTTGATCGCATCATGGACGGCCCCATTATTCATCTTCGCTATTCCTCAATCAATCTTTCTGCTGTTTGCAACTGAAGATCAAGAAAGCGTCTTCTCGATATTCAAAACCTTGGTTTTCTCTACCTTGCCAATGATTTTATTGATTGCATTGACAACGAGTGTTTTGGCTGTCTCACGGAGCTTATCACGCGAAGCACGCGTGCTAAACGCGCAAGTTCGTTTCAACCACAGAAATGACACACTAGAATTGAATGCATCCGATTCACCAACCTTCGAAAGGCAAAGAACCGCGAAAATGATGATATTTGTCATGGTAATATTTATTCTCTGTTCTGCTGGGGAAAATTGGAAGGGTTTCTGTTCATGTGATTGGAGTTTGTGCTGCGATGAACCTAGAAACGTTGATCATGTTCTAAACCTTGTTTGTTTATTAAATTCTGCTGCTAATCCCATCGCTTATTCGTTTCTCAAGAAAGATTTTAAAGAGCAGTTAAAAAGACTTTTTCAAAATAGACACTAATGCAACTGGGATTATTAAATATAGCGGATTTGCCGCACAAGAAAATAGGCTGTAACAGGTGTTAAAATAAACATAACAAAAAAGTCACCTACATGTACTTTAGAGGAAGGTCCCAACAGCATTATTATAAAGTAGTTACAAACCTACAATAATGAATGGACTCGCAACGTATATAACACGGCCGAGACTATAACTTACTGAAGTTTTAATAACGAACTGAGCGGCTATTTTAAGTGCTGGAAGGTTTCAGTGGGTGAATTAACCGACGTGCAAACTTCCTCGTCAGGAACCGGTGAATCTTCCAGCGGCAATATAGGTCTATATATGAACTACACCAGTTGAACCCGCGGCTGATTGCGATGGCATGCAGTGAAAGGCATTTGCACCAAAAGCTGCGAAAAACTGTCCGTTTTGTGCATGTTTAAAAATTTTCAGAGGAATTCTCTGCGTAAAAGGCCTTTTCACCGTTTTTTCAGCTTTTCACATGGACCAGTTAGGGAAAATCCGTCGACACTACTAGAAAGAGCGCCTTAAAATTAGTAAAATTGCCAAATTTGAAAGTGATACGTCTTAAGGACCTCAAGCGAGCGACAATTTAACTCCGCTTAGTTGCGGAAAATTTATAAACGAAAAGTTTGCAAGTTCGTTCCCCCCACCATACCGCGTCTGTACAATTTGAGGAGCTAAACAGTTTTTTCACATGACGTCACGGCGGCCATATTGGTGTCCCAATACAATGAAACGGTGGCCATGTTGGTGTTCCAATCCTCTGGGAGT